AATTTTGAAAAGAATGGAATTTTAGCTTCTCCTGGTTTTCTATTGCCACAAATGAAAAGGGGCTGCTGACCTGCCAATGGACACACCAGATGCAGTTTGAAAATATTTGGGAAAATTATTTTTGTGCATTTGTGTGTACAAATATATGTATGTGTGCACATATGTATATGGACATATCTATATGACTTTTAGGTATATATTTTAAATTTTTACTAAAAAACTAACACAACTTATAAATTAATGGCATTTACCTCATCAGTGGAATTATTAACTCAGTGTAATGTTTGTGATGATAAGCTTTGAAAATATTTTCAAACACATTAAGGTAACAGTAAAAGATGTTCCCGTACCAAAACCAAAAAAAGAAGTTGGACAGATTTGGGAAGAATACTTTCCAGCTTCTTCTCTCAACAAAATCTAGAAAGCTATAGGCTATCACAAAGTGGGCAGAATGCCTTGTATTCAGCGGAGGATCTTAATGGGTATGCCCAGGAAAGTGTTCTCAGAGTTCCTTGTTTTCCTCCAATTCCACTGTCCGTTATGTGAAACTACCTTAAATATTCATCCATTTTTTGTGAAGTCTCCCTTCTCATTTTTTAGGAAGGTGCGTTTTCTTATAAAAAACATGGTTTAAAACATGCTTTAGATATTGTAATGACATGGAGCATGCAGAATCACTTTGTCGGAGAGAATGACTAAATACTAATTCAATGGAAGTGTGTAGTAAACTTAAGGTTTTACTCCCTGTCTATCCCCTCCCCAGTTAAAAACACATTTTGTTTTATAATTTATCTGGGAAAATGCACTTTGATTAGGCAAAAGGATTTGTACACAGTCTTAATGTTAAGCAAACACTTTAATATTTTTCATACTGAAGGGATTGCAGGGAGCCTAAAGCTGTAGGCAAAATTTTATATACAATTTCTTTTTATTTTAGTTGGTGTTATGAACAAACAAGGGCTTTACTAAGCATAAAGAGATCACTTTCTTTGCCAACAGTTTTATGTTCATTTGACTGGAATGTACAATTATATAATTATTTACACCGTTTCATATTATGGTATAAGTAGAATGGCAATGCAAATTGTATTTGCAGAATTGTACAGTTCTGGGAGAAATTGCACTGAAAGTGGATGTGCTTCCCAGATTATGCAAAATTAATTTCTAATAATGCTTTCTGATTTTCCAGATATTAGGCAGGTTTGGTATTTTTATAATTTCCAGTTATAATGTACACTGTTTTCCTATTACGATTTCCTAACTCCACAAAGAAAATATTCATAATACGCTAGAGTATCTAACTATTATTATTACTTTTTAATATTAGGCATATGAGTTGGGATGTATGTATTTATGAAAATTAAACTAACACTATTCTTGCTGGCCGCATCCAGGCTGGAAATACGTTTATGTGTCTGTTCTTGAGACTTTGGACAAATTTGTTCATGTGTTGATATATAGGTTTTGGTGATGAGGCATGGGACTTTTGTGGAAACTTCTGTGTATTTAATGAGTCTAATAACTTGTATTTCTTGGCTATTTTGAGATGGACTCTGAACATCCAGTTGTAGAGAAAGGTACCTTACAGGTTTTTTAGCTGAGTACATGGGACAAAGAGGTTAGCTTTAAGCAGATCACTTTGCTGAAATCTCTTAGCTGTTACTGTAAAAGATGTCTTCAATTCAATTACCTTGCCCTTCTGTCTACATTCTCCCTGAGATTACAAAAAGTCAAAAGATATTTTTGGAGCACTGTGAATTTTTTGGTATTTTGAAATGCTGGTGGTTATGTGTGTGTTTGTTTGTTTTTAATTACTGAAATTCAATTCAGTTAACTGGAAAGATGTTTCACAGGAAGCAGAACCTCTTTAGGTGAATAAAGTTTTGGGTGAATAGTTTCTTAGTCAAACAAAACCTATTTTAAACTTCTTCCTTTGCAAGAGAAAATGTTTAGTGTTAGGAGTGAATTTTATCGCAGTAATGATTATAAATTATTAGTATATATTATGCTAGTCTTGGAGCCGCTCTAATTTATTAGTATTTTCCCCCTGACTACCAACTGCATCTACAAAACTCAATCCCATTTTTCTCTAAACTTGCTTTAAGCCAAAACTGCAGCCAACCTCTCAAAAGCACATTCTTGCCTGTTAAATACTACTGTGCAGATCTTGCAAGTTGCCATATTGAATTGTGCCAGAAGAATATGAATCCACTTGTGAATCTGAATATGAAACCTTGCTGAAGTTCTCAGACTTGCTAAATTTGCAAATTTAGCGAATCTAGAAAATTTTAGAAAGCAAAGATGTAGTATAAAAATTGCTCTATATGCATTTTGAGTTAGACAAAAAACTGCGTTCTGACTCATCTGACATTATAGTAATAGTCTATCTTTTTACTTTTAATATCAGCCTGTTAGTAAAAGGAACTCTCAACACTGTGGGTGCTCACAGGGTAGCATGCTGACATGGCTTCTCAGGTGACTACCTTTAAAATGCCCACATTGTTCACCCACATCCTCACTCCTCTACAAACCCTCATGTGCCATCTTTGAAACTAGGATAAAAATCTAATAACAATCCACTTCTGCATAAATTGAAACTATGTAGAACCCGACAGAAGGTTAGTCTGCCCTAACAGATGACTTAAAATATTAATATTAGTAACCTATTTTACTTGTCCTTCTATTACTGTGTATTCTTTTTGTCTTTCGTGTTCACTGTATGCAATGCTTGTTATTATGTGTTTTACAATGCCATTATAATTAAAGAAATTCAATTACAGAAATGGAGGAAATTTCTTTATTTATAATTAAACGAATTCTGGCAGCTTCTCCAGTTGCAGCTATAATTTGAAGTGGAATTAAAGATTTTAGTTGAATGACATACATTAATGTTTAATTTGCAGTAGAACTTCCTGTTGTGTTTTACCCCAGAAATGATAACCACTCCTTGTGGACTAATCATTTTTGTCAAATGAACAGGCCTGTTAGGTGGATTCTTGAATTGCAATGCAAGATTCAGTTGATACAAAGTACATTCCTACTATGCCCCACAGATGGTCATATTTTCCATCCAAGATTTAGTAGTCTCGGTAGTGTGGCTGAGATGCAGTTTCCGTACATGACAAATTACAGAAGTAATTGCGATGTCACTGTCTTGTTTACATTTCTATTTGTGTGTTATATTTAACGTTGAAGTTAAGGTTTTAGACATGAAGACTGAAATAGTAGACACAAGTCTCTGAGAAACTTTCTTGCAAAATATCCCCACCCCAAAAAAAGAACAAAAAAGAAAGTTTTTTGGGTGACACAGTGTGGGTTTCAAGTTCTTTTGAAACTTTGAAGATTTTCTCAGGAAAGCTTTCTCTCTGTGTTCAGGTTAACTAAAATCCATTTGTGGTGCTCAGTATGAGTAAGGCAGAAAAATGACATACACCTAGCGGTTACCTGTTACAAATCTGAATGGGATTTCTGGAATACCTGAAACTTCAAAGTAGAGCAGTAGTGGTTATTGCTGAACCAGGCAAAGCTATTCTTTTCCTTAAATATGGACTGTTGATTTTTTTACTTGCTGGGTGTGACTTACGTACAACTGCTTTTTGCAAGTATTTAATAGCATGACTGATTTTCATTGCCTAGAGAGTATGTTTCATATCTGTGAGTTCATCATGTGATTTGCATGAAAACATTGATGTGATTAGGAAATGGGGTCAAAGGATATTTCTTATGGGTATAGGTAAATAACAGGCAGGTTCTAGTATGAATTTGTATTTGAATTACAACTTTTAATTTTTTAAAAATACAGACACTCTCTACAGGAAAAAAATTTGACACTTACTATATTCTGCCTGACATAAGACAGTGAAAATGTGTGTGAAAAGACTGAATGGTTTGATGGAGTTGTGTAAAACCCAATAAATTATCTTGTATGTAAAAGGCATTTTGTGTAGAATTGTCATGGAAGTGTATAGTACAGGCTGAAGTTGCTATTGCTGCCCTTTTCATTTCTCTTCATGAAAAAAAAAAAACCAAAACCCGGTACAGTAAAGGCATGGCTCCATCACAGACTCAGCCTGCAATATCTGGATTTGTATGTTAGAAAAGTTGGGCCGAATTGGGTACATGATTTTTGTAATGTTATTTGTTTCTGTAAAATAATGTTCCAGGAGATAGCTTAAAAGAAAGGCATTATAGTCATAAAAGATTGGTGGTTATCCAAAACTTACTTATTCATAATTATACTTCTCGAAACTGGTTGCATAATTTATGAATTGCTTTATTAATGTGTCCTTAGATAGTTCCTAAGGAAGCTTATACCATGGATAAAAACATTGCAATATTTACAAACCGTGTAATTAGCTTGTTGTTTTGATATTTTATTTATTGTAAAAAGTAATGTAAAAAACCCACACCTTTTTTTTTAATGTCATTTGAATGACATTTTGTGTGCTGAGAATATTTTATCAGAAGCCAAATGGAGGACTATTGATAATGATCTAGAAAGTTCTTAATTAGGTTTAGTTCATTGATTATTCCTTGGGATATTTTCTATTTTTGTTAAAACTTGTTCTGTTCTTTCTCAGGCATTCTTTGTACTCTTAAATACATGTATTTATAAAAGAATATACATAAGTTAACATACAAATAAGTGTGTCTGTCTGTCTATGGGTCTATCTACCTACTACCTATCAGAATGAAACCCCCGCTGTTCTTCCAAGAAATCCTCCTATGCACAAATCTCATTTCTACTTTAACAATAGAAATGTTAAGGGACAAGTGGAATCTCTGAAATCACAGAAATTTCTCCCAAAGGTTGATTCAGTCTGGACTATTAAAGTTTCTCCTGCAACGACTGACAAGGGTTTTAGGTGAATCAGAACTTCTATGATTTTGGTTTGCTGTTTTACTGCCTTTTTTAAAACAATTTTTTGTTTGTTATTACACTGTTAGAATGCATACGAAGCGTGTTTGGCATTAACCATCTGCTTGCTTTTTCCAACCAGGTATTAAAGTGAAATTTAGAACCCAGGAACCCGATGGCTTGATTTTTTTCTCTGCATCACCTGGGAATCAAGAGGAATATGTTGCACTTCAACTGAGGAGTGGGCGTCCTTACTTTCTTTTTGATCCACAGGTACAACAAAAGACGGGGTACTATAAAAATAGCTTACATTATTCCTTTCAGTACTTCTTTACATACTGACCTTTTATTTAATTTATTTTGTATTCCTGTTACAAGTTACCTGACTTCAGAACTCTTAGTTAACTGGAGATTTTGGGGAGAGAAACATTGAAACACTAAGGCTTTGCTCATTCTTTGTTATGTTGCCACAACTCATGACTTTATTTTTGCATTTTTTGTGAGCTGGGTTTTTTGGTAGTACCACCAAACACCACTACAGCACAAAGTACCAAGATTTCAAAGGTGGTCTGAACTAGTTTTTGAATTAGCAAATAAAGGTTATATATGTTTTTAGTTTATTACTTTTAAGCCTCCCATCCTGAGGCTATCTTTTCCTACTGAAACTGGTGTGTTGCTATTAATGTGGTGAAAGTAGTCTGTCAGTTCTAGTAATAATGACAAAACAAAGACATAAATAATGAGGGAAATATTAACAAATAAATTCCACAATGACACATTCCTTGCATTACTGTTTGGGTGTTTTCTGTTCTCTGCACCCCAAAATTGGATCTCCTCATGGAATAAAAACCATTACAGACTCTCTCATATTTCATAAATATGCAATAAACTGCACCTTCTTATTGGGTTTTCCAATGATATTGGTAGACTGTGGTATCATATGTAACCATATATGTGCAGCCTTTTTGTAAAGTTACAGCTGCTTCGGTGTTGCTGGAGGGCCCAGTCGCTATCAGCCATATCTTCTGTCACCCATCAGTGTCTAATCATGTGATTGGTATTCTCCCCACTGCTCTGGGGAGTTAACAGAAATGCTTAATGGTATAAAATGGTGGGGATTTAGAGATTTGACGATTCACTGTTAACCTTTGCTTCCTGAGTTCTTCCATGGTCAAGGCACTGGTGCCCCATGAACATGCAGAGGTGTTGTGGGATGGTGAAGCTCCTCTTCAGCTTTGGAGAATCTGTAGAGGAGGCATGGTGCTGCACAGGGGCTAGTGTATAGGCGACCCCTGTGCTAGGAAACATTAGATCTGCTTCTGATCCCAGGATATAAATTTCTATTATTTCTACTGCACTTACTTTGTCTTCTTTTCCTTGTTGCAAACTGAATCAGTGTGTAGTTCAGTTTTTGTGACCATGCGTACCATTGGTGTTAACATTGCCCTCATCCCCATTTTACACGTATACCTTCCCTTAACTACATTTCCTTTGCAAGATGTTTTTGGGTGTAATAGTTTGATTTTTTTTTTTTTTTTGGTGGCTTGTTTTAATGAGTGTGGGTATTTTTCAACTAGCATTCTAGTGCTTCAGACAATATTCCTAGTCCTCCTTGCAGATTTGCTCCTTCTTCAGCTTGGCTGGACTCATTCCCTAGAAGGTGTTGTATTTGTTTTCAATCACAGTATTTGGGGATGGGGAGGAAAGGGGACAGGTGGGAGAGTGGCTGATTTGAGTGGTTTGTTTGTTTGTTTTTCTTTTTAGCCTGTCTTTTAACTGTAAAAAATACAGGTCTCATCCCTATTCAGTCCCTAAAGCTTCTCAGTTCAGCTAATATTTTCAGTAGTTGCTATCTTGAATTTTAAAAAAATTACTTGTTCATGAATATATCTTTGTCTGTTTTCCAGTTTCATTTGAATCAGACAACTCTGTCCCATGTTGATTTTTAGGATCATCACTTTCCCATTGTCTCATCGTCTTATAAAGTCTAAAATAGCCTATATTGCTGCTTCAGTGACTGTTAATAGGAAAAAACACCTGTCATTCAAGACATTCAGGAGTAGTGTAGGTCTTAACATTTGATTTATTATCATGAAAGCTAATGATTTCTAATTTCTCATTAATAATGTGGAAGAGATTCCTGTACATTCTGAGATTCAGAAGTAGGGTACGGTGGTCTACATCAATGTTTCTTGTATTATACTTTTCAAAAACTTTTACCTCTGAAAATTTCAATTATGAATTTTTTTCACTCTTCTGTATCCTTAATATGCTGTGCTGCCTCATTACCTTTACCTTTGTTTCTATGTTTTCTACATAGCTTGGTTCTTTTTTTGCTTTTGACATTATTTGCCATTTCTATCATATAACATCAGGTGTCTTATTCTGTAGCAACAATTCTTATTCCTTCATTGTGTAGCACAGTTTGCATTGATGTGCAAATGCTTAATTACTACCTATTGATATCATGTGGTTTCCTAACCAGGTTATATGCATTGTTTTCTCTAATTATTGTTGTGGCATATAGCATAAGCATTTGTGGCCCTGCCTTTGTGCTCTTCTCTTAAAATGGCAAAAATTCTTTTTGATGACACTTGTGTCTCTGGTGCTTTTTATCTAGAGCAGCATGGTGTAATATTGTGTGATCCCTTCCAGCTGTGTCCTGTCACAGGTTAATTATTTTTAGCCCTAGTTCCTTTTCAGGATTCTGGTATGTATCTTTGCTCATGATCAGTAGCACATTTTCTCTTTGTTGTATCTACTCTGGGGATAGCCCTGCCAAGTCTTCAGCAGTCTAACTTCTTCCTTCTCTAAGCATTAATTTCAAATCCTTTTCTTCCTGTCCGTTCATACTTCTCTCGTTTTTATGTCCACCACCTTTCATCTAGCTGTTGCTTGACCATCTCTTTTGTCCCTCTTTTGTGTTGTCTAGCTGCCTTTTTTTCCTTCCTCATTTTGCTACTGTCACTCTTTATAGGTTTCTACTTATGGTCCAGGAAGCATGAGTTTTTTTTGCTAACATACGTCTTCCTCAGTCTTCTCTGGGTAATCAAATTGTTTGATAGACCTTCCTCCAAACACAGTGTGCCGGCAAACCTTCAGCTGTCTGTCGTGTTTCTTCTCCTCATAATGACTCTACAACCACTCCTAAACAAGCTTAAATTTATTGTTATCTTTCAGTGGCTACAGGTCACTTGTACTTTTTCCCAAGGAATATTTTATACAAAGTCAAATAACTGACAGTAGAAATTTAAGGCCAGTCTGGAGCACCTTTTTCCCTAGTGATTAGGACAGTCTGAGGACAGAGTATCAGGATTCTTCTCACAGTGTGGAGGGAATTAAATCTAGGTCTTCCATTTTGGATGATGATCCATTTCTTAAACTTTACAGCAAAAAAAGGAGGAATACCAGATACCTTGTTGGAATACCTTGTTGCCTGTGATTTGTGCAGAGGCTGAAGTAGTAGTTTTAGAGTGAGCTGTTATTCCCCAAAAAAGGAAGATGGAGAATACCTATTTATTAATACCAACTATGCCTTCATTGGCAAAGCTTCAGTACTTGTTCACCTTCTCAGTGGTAGGAGGTTGGGCATTGAAAGGATTTGACTGCAGGAAGTGTAGTTATGTTCAGACTTTGTCTCCTAGACAACACTTTTGAGGATCCATATTTGTGATGTTTCTATGTATTTTCACGAATGTAAACGTGAGCATCAAGAGCCACAAAGATTCATATTTACTTAATTATCAGACAGCTACTAAAAATTAAGACTTATTGTATGGCTCAGTAAAAGAATCCAGATTTGGTTCCCTCTGTGTCATTTCCAAAACATATAATGAGCCATTTCACAACAGGATATTTGAATGTGATCACAGAGCTACTCAGGTAGTTCATGATAAAATGTGATACAGAGGCCTCCAATGCAGTATATGTTAAGCCCTAAACACTCTCTTTTGTTTTTTTCTCCCCTGAAATTAAGCACAGGTTAGCACATATGGTTGTGTGGTCCCAGATTGAATTGCCTACAAATAAATGTGGTTTCTGATGTATAAAACTGTTAATGCTCTAGACTGTTGCCAAACATAATATGAAGAACCACTTATTCAGGCACCTGATCTTTAGAATGCAGCATCGTTTGTAACAATTTTAACGCTAACTAAGTACACTTTGATGAGACAGCATTTAATAAAATGCTCATTAATTTCATCATTAGCAAGGGTATGCTAAGAAGTAAGCCAGTTTCTTATGTCACGCCCAATTAGCATCCCATGCTAGTAATCCCATTAGTATTGTTGAATTCACTAATGGAAAAACTAATGGGCATGCTACCAGGGCACATTAATTGGGCATGACACCAGTTCTGGTTTTAATTATTAAACTATGATAATGAAATGTGTGTTTGTAAAATATTAAAATGTTGAAATAGGAGAGAAGACAATAAAAAATAGTATATGAAGAAATGCACATTAGTATGTAAGGATATATACACTTCGTATTGTTATCATGGGATATAGGACGGTAAAAAATGCCTCACTACTAAGACGTTGGCTGAATGGAATAGGAAACATGCTGTAAATATTCATGGAGAATTATTTTTTCTGTAATCATGTACATGTGTACACATCATATGTATTTTCATACATAAGATTCACACTGACACTTCCCAGTTCTAAATGTACTGTAAAATGTATACTGCATTCATAAATCTGTATGCTGCCAAGCATTTTCTAATTGATACACATCGCTAATGGCAGAATACTAAATTTTTACAAGAGGGTTTTATTATTATTCACAATAGGCAGTTGTTTTTATCAACAGGTTTCCTTCATATGCATAACTCTAAGGTCCTTGAGCCAGAAAGAGTATTGGAAGATCTGCAAAAACAAAATTCTGAACTGTCTGGTTTTGTACTGCAAAGTAATAAGCTAGACCTTCATATTATAAGGAAATTTTTTTTTTCTTCTACTTTTTTTTTTTTTTAAATTGTTTTTTTGAAGCCTGTCCGAAGTCACAAAGTAACTGCAGAGGTTATGATTCTTTAATATTGTGTAGTGTCTATGCAAGATTCCTGCTACTTAGGACAATCGTATTCTGTGCATTCAACAGGATGACTCTGAGTTCCCAGATGGTTCAAGAACAGTATAAAACACTGAGAAAATGCTGTGGGTATTACTGGGAAGTTAGAAGATTATTTGGATATAAAACTCAGGAAAATTCTTGAAATAAATTAGTTTTATTTTTATTGCATCTTTATATGAATTTATGATATTCATTTTTCTTGTTTAGTCTTGAGATTTGGTTTGGCAACCACATCTGCTATATTCCTCTTACTCAGCAATTCAGAAAAGATTTCTCTGCATTTTGTCATGGATGTCTATAAATTCACCCCCTCAGATTACTATACTTCTTTTGTTTTCATAAAACCAGGTAGAAATTCTAGTTAAATCTAAAAACATTTTTACAACAGTCTGTGTAAAACTGTAAATCAGCAAAAAAGTCCTCAATAATTACCTTTTCCCCTCTCCCCCCCGCCCGCCCGAATCTTTTGGTATGATTTTTCTTTTATAAAGGTATTATCTCTTCTCTTCAAGTCCTTTTGATCATAGAATCTTTTAGGTTTGAAAAGACTTTTAAGATCATCAAATCCAGACATTAACCCAACACTGCTAATGTCACCACTAATCGGTGTCCATCAGTACCTCATCCACACATCTCTTACAGGCATAGTGACTCCACCACTTCCATGGACAGCCCATTCCAATGTCTGGCAACCCTCCACTGGCACAACTTGAGGCCATTTTCTCTTCTCCTATCACTTGTCACTTGGGAGAAGAGACCAGCCTCTACCTCACTGCAACCTCCTTTCAGGTAGCTGTAGAGAGTGATAAGGTCTCCCCTGAGTCTTTTCTTCTTCAGGCAAAACAACCCCAGTTCCTTCAGCTGCCCCTCACAGGACTTTTTCTCCAGATGCTTCCCCAGCTCTGTTGTTCCTCTCTGGACTCACTCCAGCGCCTCAATGGGGTTTTTTGCAGTGTGGGGCCCAAAACTGAACACAGTGTTCAGAGTATTTTAATTCTGCCAGGTGTTTTAAGAATTCAGATACCTCACCAGTGTCCAGTACAGGTGGACAATCAATGCCCTAGTCCTGCTGGCCATGCTGTTCCTGATGCAGACCAGGATGCCATTAGCCACCTTGACTGCGTGGGCACACTACTGGCTAATATTCAGCCAGCTGTCAAATGGTATTGGTTGATACCACATTAACAGGGACAGAATATACATCTTCATACTGTCCTGCAAATACATGTCTTTTTTGGCTCCCTTCCTGCAGACAGACACTGCAGTCAGAGATCCTGTTGGATCTCTGTGGATGGCACATTGCATCATGACCATCAAACTTCAGAGCCACAGGAATCTATGAAGTAGTTAAATAGAGACTTAAGAAAAAAAATTTTGAGCATCATGCCCTTAATAACTTGTGTCTCATCCTTTACTTTATCAGAAGAACCTCACAGGTTTTTCTGTTTTTAATAGAAACCGATCTGGATCCTTGATCCTTCATTTATTACTTGAGAAGGTTAATTTAGTGACGAAATCAGTCCTAAATATCATTCAGTATTCCACAAGAAGTTAAACAGATGACTTCTGCCTTTATTTTTAGATATTATATATCAGAGAGTGTTATAGAGAGTAAGGTGTAATTCTAAATATTACCTTTATAATATTCTAAATCCAATTCTTCTGTTAATAAAAAGGGATCTGCCGTAGCAGTCACTCCAACTAACGATGGTGGAAAAGAGTACAACGACAACAGCTGGCACCAAATAATTGCTACAAGAATTCAAGCACTGGGAAACATCACAGTGGATGGGCAGTACACAGGTAATCAATTCAGTTCCATTTTGTTTTATTACTTTGATATTATTCGGGGTATTTCTTCTTCATCCGTGCAGCAAAAAAATCACTGCTGCTTTCCCTGTGCATTTAATACAAAGTATGAGGAGTTTGCCTTTTTGTGCTTGTGACTATATGATTGTCTTCATATCCTTTTGCAAAATAGAGCTGGAAATATTTCCAGGATGTGTATGGGGAAATATTAGGATATTGTTTAACATTAGCCTCTTTTCTCCAATATTCTGTTATTGAGTTGTAAATCTGTTGAAAGCATTGAACACAAGAATAATGACCTATTCTGTTCAGGTTCTTCCTTAGCCACTAGTGGCAGTACCATTATTGGTGAGACCACAGGAGTTTTTGTTGGAGGACTTCCACAGAGTTATACTATTGTAAGGAAGGATGTAGGTGAGTATGATTGTGGTCTGTATTATATGACAACTCCTGTACAGTGACACTGACTTAACTGCCTTTGCAGTGCTGTAGGCTGTTCTGATATTGTGCCAGGAACATGAGGATAGTACATAATTTGCATAGTCATTTGCATATTTTTAAATAAAAAATAAGTTGGTACTGTTTTATCTTTTGGGATAGATTGAAGTATCCATCTAGCAGATTTCATTATCAATAAATCAGGTATGAGAACTGTGTACATCTTAATTGATTTTACATACAGAACTCTAAACCTGCAAGCAAGCTGGGTGGGTATGAGAAACTTATGGGTATGTTTTACATTCTAGATTCCCAAATTCTTTTCCAAAATACACATGCAAATTATTTTTATTATTTTAAGCACACAGTTATATATGCCACCGGGATGCACGGTCAGGATGCTGGCCTTTTTGGGTGTGAGTTTGGATCTTTCAGGGATTGTTACATTGAACTCAGTGGTGTATGAATATATCTGTATTCTACAGCTGTATTTATGTGGAGCTGGATCATAGCTGTCTTCCACAGAATCAATAAACATACATCTTCATATATAAACTTGGTCTATATGCCATTCTACCAGCAGATAAGAGAGGTGACTGCATGCAAAAACAGTACACAATCAGCTGTTCTCAGTGGATTCATATCCAGGCTTGTGCTTTTTTTTTTTTTTTCCCCTCATGTAAAACTAAAAGCTGGTATGATGTCAAGTTTGTGTTCCCATGACTGATAAGTATGTGCAATCTATTTGATGATTTGATGTGAGGTACACTAGAGTACCACTTCCCCTGTGTCTCTTTATTTCAGTTTGCTAAACCCAGAAATACATGTATGTGGTGTTCTAAAACTGGTTCATCAAGTAAACCAGGATGCCTCTCCCAAACCTCAACAAATAATCAAAATGACATTGACTATAAATACCATTCAGGAGAAGGCTATCTCTAAAACTTGCTGTATATTTTTTTTCCCCAGTAAAGAAAAAGAGATAGCAGCTATAAATTGCTATTTTTTCATCCAAAGAAGGAAAGAAAACTTCCTGATGGAACTTCTAGAAGTTTATTCATCTGCCTAAGCATCTACGACACAGTATCTTCTTATTACTTGAATCTGGATTTAACTTAGAGACTAGATTTATGAAGTGATTGATGGCTGGTTATCAATGCACACATGCACATATACTGTAGAATAACTGTGTATAAACCATAAATTAATATTTATGTTTAGTTGCAGGTGATTGGCTTAAAATAATATTTTCCATTTATCCAGGGATGAAGATGATAGTCCAGAAAGGATTTGTGGGGTGTCTCAGTGACATATCTTTGAAAAAAATGCACACTCCCTATGAAAACTGGGAGTATTTGAACTGGCAGGATGCTGAAGAGCAAACCAATGTCTATCATATTTGGGAAGGATGCCCCATTGTCCTCTACAAAGGAGCACATTTTCTTGGCAAAGGTAATTTGCTGTGCTATTGCATTAGCCCAGTATGCTCTTGGGATATAGAAGGTGATCATATCAAAAGTGTTAGTGATGTGCTTTTCAAAACATTCTTAGTTATATAGGATTATTATTGAATGGTTTCAAATTTGGTTTCTGGGTTTATAGAAGACTGCCACATGGAAGAGGAATTGCATTCACAGACAGGTGCTGCTGCTGTAACTCTATGCAGATTTGATATGCATGTAAAAATTGAAGTTTCACTTTTGAAGAGGCACAGGTGCCTAATAACGTATCAAAAAATGCCTGGTGGCAAAATTTAGGACGTTGCACCATTTTGGTCTGTTGAGTACATTATGGACAACTGTGGTAGAGTTGTCCATAGTTGTGGCAGAGTGGTATAATTAGAAACCTTAATCTTGAAAACTCTGAGTTCATGTCAAAGTAGAAAGTAGCACCTAGATTTTTGCTTTTGGTTTCTTGAGCCTGTTTACTCATGTATTTGATTTAACTTACACATGTATTCACTTTCTTTCAAGGCTTCCTGGAACTGGATTCAGGGGTTTTCAGTGGTGGACTAGAATTTGAGATATCATTCAAATTTAGAACAGATCAACTGAATGGATTGCTTTTGTTTGTTTACAGTAACGATGGCCCAGATTATCTTGCAGTAAGTTCAGAAATACAAAAACTATATTCAAATGTGAACTGTGAGTTTTATCTACTATGTCCAGCGTTTAAAGAAATTTTATACCATAATTTATTTTTTGTGTCTTCGTTTGAAATGCTATGCCCAACAAAGAGTAAGGGGAGCAAAAAGACTCCAACAAATGCTCAGGATAAATTGTTATTTATATCATCAAGAAGAAAGATATCAATATATGGAAAGTAGAATTATTCTCTTTTCTGGATTAGAAGTGATTAGAAAAGAGGATAAAAGACATGTACTAAAAGCTTTCAGTTAATTTGTGAGAAAGTGTAGAGTTACCCAGTTTCCCAGTTCTCATACTAGAACAAAATCAATTAAATTGTAAATCAGAAAGTTCACGATGGAAGTTGTCTGGTATCCTATTAAAGCCTTCTCTTTAAGGTATATGAATTTTTTTATAATCCATATGATTTGTTCATTCTGATTTGAAACATAAGGATTGTCATATAGATAGAAATTAGTGGTCCAGCTTAATCCCATTTTATCTCTTTCACTGTTTTCCCAGCACTGCAGAGGAAGCTGCACAATTCCTGCATTAGGCAAATTTACAAGACACGTGTCTGAACTTTCTTTTTGTGTCTGTTAAATAAGACTGGTTTACACTCAGAAGTACTTCTGCTTCCATCTTTTCCAGGATTTTTTTTAAGTTGAATGTGTTTGTTGCAGTTTTTTTTGGTTGGAGTTTTTTTTTTTTTTATTAGTTATGTGGCTCTGGATTTTTGTATTTTTCTTCCCCCAAAGATTTTGAATGTAATTAGACTGTGGTCACCATTGCTTAGTGCATCAACTATACTTACTACTTGCATCAGTTAGTAGGTATTACAGGGGATTACACTGAGAGTAATACAACTCTTTTCAGTTGGTCCAAGAAGCAATCATTTACACTTAGAGATTTTTGAGTGTATTGTTACTCTTGATGACCCAATCTGCCCTTTCTGAATTTTTATTGAACTTCATTCATTCATTCATTTATTTATTATGCAGCTGTTTTGCTAATGGCTTTCATGTCACAGTCTGGTTTATTGCATGGCATTATATCTAATGTGCCTTTTCTTTTAAACTTCTGACCTAAAATGTATGAATATATTTTTCTCCTTTTCAGGTCAACTATAATTTACTCTATATTTACTTTTATATTACTGACTTTTACAGCAGATCATTTTTTCCTGGGTTTTGAATTCTGCCAGACTTCATTGCTTCCTCTTTTTCTAGCAATCTTAGTTCAAAAATTATGAGTTCTGATAACAAGTCTTGCTAATTGCATGTTATTACATTAGTTTTGCCTTCAAGTAATGACCAAGATCATGAGCTAATAGCATAAGATGCTTTACAGATAATACTGTCCCACCCTAAAAAGTCCTGTATGTGTGTAATTCACAGTACAGGGACACTATTTACGTGAACAAGATTCACAGGGACAAACATAGGGTTTGGATTCTTCTGGAGGCTCTTGTGGTATGTGACCCTTGTTTCCTTTCTCTTGGTCTGTGAAAGACTATCAGAAATATGAGAATATAGCTTCTGACTATAAAAGAAAATGAGATCTATTAAATTGAAAGTAGAGTAAAAAGCACAAAGTAGTTAGACAAAACACTTTCCTTCTCTACTCATACGCACAGATTGTTGTCAGGTTTATGTTTATATTAATTCTAGCACTGAAAACAGTGATTTGATAATTTTCTTAGCATTTGTCCTATGTCATGTCAAATTTTTAAAATCTCGCTTTACTCCTGACCTCAACATCTCTATAGCCTGAAGATGAGGAAAGTTAGAGAGGATGAGTATATGTATGCATGGTTTTCCAAACCTTGCAGCTTTGTGTTCTGCACATACATAATGATGACAGAAGGTTTTTCTGTACACTTGAGCTCACAAAAAAAAAAAGGTTAATAGAAAGTGAAAATGAGGTGTGTAGCATGTTGCGCATGAGCTACGATGTCTTTGTTAGGCGCTTTGGTCGGGAGACACTTGCACTGCAAAACAGATTAGAAGCTATACAACTTACCCTGAGTACCAGTGTAAGACAGTATTCCCTGACCCTTCCTTTTGTATAGGTCATAGCTCTCTTACTAGCTTTATAGTTTTGGAATGACTATAGCTAGACACATGGCTGGCCTGCTACCAAACAGCCAAAGACTCTGTCTTGTCCTCTGCCCAAGACAAAATTATGTCCTAGAAAGGTGCTGTGCATAAAGGTCACATCTTCCATTACTTCCCTGCCCTGAGAATTAACTCAAGCCAGGGAGGTCAATCTGATTATCTTTGGATTCAGGCATAATAATTATGAGCAAACTGTGACCAGATAAACTAGTATGAATACCTAGCTCTCACTCTAGCATGTGTTTCTCATGATTTTGTGATTGAAAGAAGGTACTGTGCTGATAGAGCTTGCATTACTGATTTTGCTGCTGACCACTTCAACAGCAGAGAAAGCCTAAGCAAGGCTGATCTTACGTGCATCAGTGGCACTAACTCCCAAGACATTTCAGCTGATGATTTGCTTCTGCAAAGCTACAAAGTAAGAAAAAAGTTCTGCAATAACTTTTTCGAAAGAATTGCACTTTTGAATAGCTGCATGAAGTAAAATAGCCAGTGTCCAAGATGAAAGCATTATGTGTGATGGAACAAAGGTGGGGTATGAAAGAAACCTTTTGAGGATTCAAAGTAGACATCTTTTTATTAGCAAAGAAGTGACTGGCACTCATGTAGGACTCGTGAAGGTGGTATTCCTATTGGTCACTAGTGATTTTTCTCTGTCTGGTGTCAGAAAGAGATTCCCATTCCCTTTCTGTCAAAGAGTGACTGAGTCTGAGGAGGCTATTGAGGGGTCTCTGTTTGGGCCTCTGTCCTCTGGCTGGCAGGTCTGAACAGGGCAAGTACCAGTACAGAACATCTCTTTAACCTTATTGATTTTGGACTGGAAAGACTGGTTCAACGTGAGTGCCATGTACCTTTTCGTTCAAAGGGCTAACAGGCTGACTTATTGCCAAGTTCTTTGAAGTTCATTGCTTGTCACTCCTGATATTCCTGAATCTCAGGAGGACTTCCTAGTTCAAAGGAGATGAAGCCATAATCACTCTTGTAGCTCTACATTCATTGAGACCGTTTTGGATGTCAGGTTTAACCTCTAAAGCCCTAATGCAGCCCCTATATTATTGGAGTTTTGTTTCTCAGAGCTATGGCTGGACGTTAATTTCATATTCACAATCATACGTTTACAAGCAGATTGAATGAGGTAGGGACTGATCCCTGCAGAGAAGGAACATACAGAAGCACAAAATAATTTATGTTGAAAGAACCTTTTGAAGTAATTTATTCCAAATCTCTGCTAAAAACAGGACCAACTTAAGTTTGATAAGGTTGCTCCAGGCATTTTCTGTTTGAGATTTGTGTATCTCTCTACAGATGGACAGTCCATAGCTTCTCAAATATTTCTTTTCCAATCTTTGACCATCCTCATTATAGAATAAAAAAAAAAAAAAAAAGAAGAAATCCTGAGATCTAAGTGTGATTTCTGTCATTACAACTTGTCTTTTGCCTGTCATTGTTTCACTATGCACCTCTGAGAAGAGTCTGGGTCTGCCTTCTCTGAATTTTCCCATAAGGTAGTTGAACAGTTAAGTTCTATTCCTGCTTACTCTTGAGACTGAACAAGTCATATTCTGTCAGGTTCAACTCATACATTAGGTACTCCCACCCCGACCAACTTGGTGCCCCTTCACTGGATTCACGCTGGTGTGCCAGCATCTTTCATATGCTGGAGTGTCCACAACTGGATACAGTAGCCCAGATGTGGTCTTATATGTGATGAATAGAGGGAAAGAATCATCTCCTTGGACCAAATGCCTGCCTTGTTTCTAATACAGCCTCAACAGTGCATGTTGACCTTCAAGATTTCAGGGATACATTGCTGACCACTGTTCAATTTATAATCCATCTTGACCCTCAGTGCTTTTCTTCAAAGCTACTTTCTATGTCTAGAATACCAGTGGCCACCCATTTTTCTACCAACTGCAAACTTGCTGAGAGTATATCCCATCCTATTGCCCAGGTCATTAATAAAAATTTTAATCAGAACCAGTCTCTCTATCAATCTCAGAGGTGCCACAACTTGCCAATGGGCCTGTAGAAGCTCTTCTTGCCTCTTATGTCTTCCAGATTCAGGCTATGTTTCGGCTTTTCTAATTCTAACCTTACATGTTTGGGTATAACAAAATAAGAATTTTTTGCATAGAGAACAATATTAGTAAAATTTTGCAGTGGTGCTTAATATTTGTAACCCAAATTCTGAAAAGCAAGTATGCTATTAAGCATTGAAATGAGAACTTGATCAAGTTTAGACCTGTGATACGATGCTCTTGTTCTGTTGAGAGATGGTAATTGAGTTATCTGGCAGAATAAGATGATTTTCATGCATTTTTGGTTTGAAGTAATAATATATCTTCCAAGGACTGGTTGACAATCCAGCAATTTTTTTTTAAGTGGTCCCAGAATTTTATCAAAAGTAAAGAATTTATCTGTTGTTTTTTTTTTTTTTTCTGAACCTATGCTCAGTATCATAGAGAAAAATAGATCTATGCAGGACTTTGCTTTTATTTTATCTTCACCATGCTGAAGAGTTCTAAGTGGAGAGTGGTCCTCTCTCTTTAGCCACACTTGGGCATTCCAAATGTCAGTCCAGGTCAACACAAAAAACACAACCACCATTCACTGCCTGCTTTAAGACTATGCCAAAATGAATAAATTGGAAGAGGGATGTGCTGTGTACTGACCCTATGTCAAACACCACGTCCTCTCTCCAGCTTCCAGGTCTGGAAGACTTGCTGGCATACCATTGTAGTCATGCAGCTGAAGTGCTTTCTTTACACCAGCACAGTGTGCTCAGTATTATTTCTCATCAGTGAGGAAAAATGGTGACTTGTCCAATGGACTGCTTTTTCAAGCCATACTTGTCAACACTGATGCCATGATCAGTCCTTCGCTTGTATTGTAGAGCCATTATCTACAAAGGACTATGAACTCATGGAAATTGGGAAAGTTGTGGTCCCAAAGAAACAAAAAATCCCTCTATCTCATGAGCAAGGAGCCAGTGTGCACTCTGGAATAGAACCTGTATTGCCTATGACACCAAGTTCTTTCTTCATTTGGGGTCCCTGTTAAGGAAACACAATCCAGTTACAAATACTACAATATTAATACTACTGGTAACCTCATTATGTTAGTTTCTCAGTACTGGTGACAAGCATTATATTAAATCCGTAGTTTTTATTTAACAAAATTTTAGCATAGAAATAAATAATGCCTTTTTTGTGGATGTATCCGTAGTTTTCACCCACCAGTCTATTACCTAAATGTTTAGTGCTCCATACCTGCCAATCTCATTTGATTCAGTTAGGGTAAATAGTCTTGCAGTAAAGCATTTGGAAACTTCTGTAGTGAAAAATTTAAGTCAAATGTATTTCTCTTAGAGAATTGGCACATTAATCTCAAAAAGCACATAGAAAAACAATTATTTTCTTGCAAGATTTAGAAGAATAAGGATGAAATTAAATGTATGAATGTAAGAATCAATGTATGCTGGAAAAATTTGAGTTCACCAACCAATTAAAAAGACCTTAATCGGGTCTGACATTTCATTTCCTTATTATCTTGTTACATTCTTCTAAAAAATAAATTGATTGATAAAATAGTGTTTTCTCATTCTCCAAAAAAGTCAAACAGTCCTGCTTCATTGTATTTTCTTTTTATTTAGTTACATTAGTGCCAAAGTCAATTGTCAAAAAATCAGTATATTTTCCTATATTCTGAATTAACTAATACACTGTATTTAGCATATTTTGTGTAAACAATTTTATTGTTATTTCTCCTGTCCTGAAGATTAAAATTTCTTGTTCATTGACTTCCTTGATTTTTTTTTAAATAACTGTGTCTGTTGTTGCTGTGTATGTGATCTCTCTTTCAAAATCCTTTTTCTGTTTTAAAATATATAGATTGAACTGGAAAGTGGAATGTTAAACATCTTTTTAAAAACTGGCACTGTCTTTACGCAAGTGGATCTCTGGTTAGGATTGTCTTACTGTGATGGAAAGTGGAACAAAGTCACTGTGAACAAGGAGGGCTCCGTGGTTTCAGCAAGTATGAATGAACTCAGAGAGCAGACACTCGAACCCCATGCTCAACAGCTGAAAGTGAACTCACCCATCTACATAGGAGGAGTCCCACCTGAGATTCAGAATTTTTTTAAAGAGCTGGGGTTAGAACAAGGTAAGAGGACACCAAGAAGAACACAAGTTTTTCAAGAACTGGTGTCATGTGCAAGGTGGACATTCTGCTGCTGATAGTGTAAATTCATTAATATGTAACATGAATTTTTCCTCCCACCTGTTGTTGCTTTGATTACCAGCTATCCCTACCCATCCTGCTTTACTTAGTCCTGATCCCTTAGTAATCCTACAAAAATTCTTCAAACCCAGTGATATCTGAAGCAATCTAACTCATAGAGGAGAGGAACTGGAGAGTAGCAAATAGTAATTTGCGATGCTCAACCAGATCTCAAATATTCATTAGAGAAAGCCAGTTGAGATAAACCTGTTTCACTTGATCAACTTGTGTCACACAGATCTGGAATACAAAACCAGTGGAAGACAGTAAATATACATACCTTATATCAGTGTAAAAAGACTGGATGCGGCCACATTGAACAATAGTTGAGAATTTATTAGTCCTTTTTTAAGCAATACTAATTGTGGTCTAAAAAATTGAGTATAAACCCCTGAATTTGGATCTTGCCTACTTTACTATGATGTTTTCCATGCTATCAGGGGCAGAGATGATCGTGTTTTTAGCCACAATGTGACCCTGCTGTTCTGGAATAGGTCAGATTTCTAGGGAAAAGAGAGAAGCATTATAGCAGACTGATATTAATGGCCTCCACATAAGGATCTACTGTGAGAAATGTAGTCAAAAAGTGTCTATTAGACTAGCTGTCTTCAGTTTGGATGTATTCCCAATACTTACAGAGCTATTCATCCGTCATGGTGTATTTTTCAAATACTGTGGGCAAATAATAGCAGTCAGTAAGTGATTAGTGGGGAATCTAGTCAGTGGCTTTGAATGCATTAGTTCACATTGAATGTATGCATTCAAGTAAGCTCCGCAGACTTCCGCTGAAGACTTGTGATTTTACAGCTGTAGAATAGTTAGAATCAAATCCATGCACTGGCATTCACGCATAGCTCAAAAACATTGTTTAAGTATTCTTTCAGCTGTATCACATATATTATGATCTTCCTTCAGGTTCTATGTGCATAATATTTATGGCCCAAAAGAGCTAGCCAGTTGTACCCTGTCAGTGTTGCCTTGTAGCAGATGGTATAGCCTCGTGAGCGGATGCATTTGCAACTCCTGCAGCAAAGAGATCTGTGAACAAAGAATGTAGGGCAAAATAACATCCAAAGTGAATGTCCGAAGTGCATATTGAGCCACATCAATAAACATTTACTTTTTTCACTGAGCCTTCTCGGCACGCTGCAAAATAAGATGGTGGCTGTGAATTTATATTTAGAGCATCTGAAGATAAAAATATTCTCATGTGTTTCTAAATGTAGATGTAGATAAGAAATATTAAGCATTACAGATTTGAAACATACTTTTATTTTAGGACTATAATGATGTAATGGTATGATAATAGAATATGGAGACCTTCCCAGTTTACTAAATATTGAGAAAAGATTTTCTCAATTAATGTCTGCTTGGTAGTTAATTTTGAATAAAGGAATATTGTTTTGCTCACAGCAAATAAGGGATAAATATCCTTCTCTTCCCACCTCTCCTCCATGTCAGTCACTTCAAGAAATTTCAGTTAGAGTGTGTGGGCCTTTGCATGACCCACCAGATGCCCTTCGGAGAGGTCAAATGAAGAGGACCTGGCAGGCATGTTTGTGAGAATTTGTACTGTCATTACTTATTCTGCAGCCACCTGAGAGTGAACAAGATTATTTGGATGACATTAGGCTGAAATCTTCAAATAGTGATAAATGCAGCTAAAAAGATAGTAAAAATAATAGGAATTGATCTTAAACTAGGATGTATTCATTTTAAAGAGCAGTTTGCATAAATTCCTGGTGTTGTGGAGAAAGAAGAAGGTATTTCAGAGGATGATTCAAAATGGGTGTCCACCTTCAGTTTGTCTGTCTTTCTGCATGAACTATGTATGAATGTTAGATTCTCAGGTCAGCTGGCTAGGTACAAATACTACACTGCTTTGCCATCTTGCCATAATAAAGGCAATAAAATACATAACATGGAAATACAGAGCTTTCACAAAGCTAAAAATGAGAACTGATCTATGAGAGGCTGAGTTTTAATGTACAAAGTTGATTTGTCAGTGAATTGGGGTCCTCGGTTTGGTTAACGTTTGATTTGGTTTTCTGCTAAACACCAATCACTGTACTTTACTCAGAATACATCCTGAATTTTGTTGTGGTGGTTTTACTGCAAGTTATTAATCAACATATTTTTAATGTTGATAGGAATGTTACACACACATGTGCATAGAAATATATGTATGTATATATAGAAATAAATATCAAATCTAGTTACTTTTTTCCCCCCTCATAAATAAACAGTTTAGGGTTATGTTTCCAGAGGGTGTTTGTAAACAGCATAGCAGTTATACCTCCATTTGGATAAACTGATATACACCTGTGATGTTCTGAAGCTAATTATATTTTTGATCTAGATATTCTTCTGGGTTTGAGGCAGCGTGTATATTATTTTCAAATTCAGAATCACTTTTATGGTAATAATTTTGGAGAGAAGTGACAGAAGAGAAAACTGAAAACTATTTCCTCATGAGATGGAGTTGAAAACAATGAAAGTATAGTTCATTTAGGCAGGAACTCAAGTCTAGAATACAAGGAATTTTTACCAGCATAGTATCTTGAAAGCAGGGACAGAATGTCATGTTGGAAGTCAACATATTCGCATTACAGTCTTTAACGCTGAAAATATAGAATTAAAAGGAAAAAAGTGTTTCTTAATTAACAACTGAAGCTCTTTATGTGATACTAATCCCCTACTGTTTGCTAGGTTTCGGTGGTTGCATGAAGGATGTTAAATTTACACGAGGTGCTGTCGTTAACTTGGCATCTGTGTCCAGCAGTGCTGTCAGAGTCAATCTGGATGGATGCCTATCAACTGACAGTGCTGTTAACTGCAGGGGAAATGACTCCATCCTAGTATATCGAGGAAAAGAGCAGAGTGTTTATGAGGGTGGTCTACAACCATTTACAGGTAACACGCTGGTTCTTTAAATGAAATACATAATTTTTATTGCAGTCTGTATTAATGTATTACCATATTCATTTAAATGAAATACATAATTTTTATTTCAGTCTGTATTAATGTATTACCGTATTCATTGTTTTTTTGTTTGTTTGTTTTTCTCCTCTATAATTCTCTATATTCTTTGAAGAATACCTTTATAGGGTGGTTGCCTCAAATGAAGGAGGAACAGTGTCTAGTGTATGGACCCGTGTTCGTACAAGAGAATCAGGTAAATATAATTTTAAGGCTTAATTATTCCCATTTTTCATTAGCTATCTGGTGTCAGGTTAGAGAAAATCCCACCACAATTTTGGGTGCTGTAGGTTGCATAGTGTTTCTGAAGGAGCAAAACTGTTTAATGCTTTCAATAGATACCAAATTGCTATTTTCACCTATAAAGCATTCAGGCAGGTATATTCCACACATAATTCAAGGTCTTTTTCTAATATACATTAGATTATGCAATTATGTGAGAGCAGAGAATGTGAAAGGATTGAGCAGCGTTAACTCAGAACAGCCGTGCATCTAGGAATGTTTATATGTGCACATCTTACCTCATGTTACGTGAATCTGCAGGAGTATCTGTATTTTCCTACATTTAACTTAGTGATACAAAATCAAGCGTAGACAAAGGAGATACTTGGATAGCAGGTACAAGCTGTGGAAGATAAGAGGCCCTGTAGTTGCTAGGGAGAAGATGGTCTTGTGAAAGCTTTTATTTATATTACCTGCACATCGGTATGCTGCTTAGTGCTGCTGAATGAGAATTCTTTTAACAAGTAGTTCATGGATTGTGTGTGAAAATGTGGCAATATTTACCACAAAAGCAGTGTGTGGCT